AACCAAAGAGGTAAAGGATCTATACTCTAGAAACTACAGAATTCTTATGAAAGAAATTGAGGAAGACACAAAAAGATGGAAAAACATTCCATGCTCATGGATCGGAAGAATAAACATTGTTAAAATGTCTATGCTTCCCAGAGCAATCTATACCTTCAATGCCATCCCGATCAAAATACCAATTTTCACAGAGCTGGAACAAACAGTCCTAAAATTTGTGTGGAACCAGAAAGGGCCCCGAATCACAGGGGATTGGTAAAAAAGAAAAACAAAGCTGGGGTCATCACGTTGCCCGATTTCAAGCTATACTACAAAGCAGTGATCACCAAGACAGCATGGTACTGGCACAAAAACAGACATATAGACCAATGGAACAGAAGAGAGGGCCCACATATGGACCCTCAACACTATGGTCAAATAATCTTCGACAAAGCAGGAAAAAACATGCAATGGAAAAAAGACAGTCTCTTCAATAAATGGTGCTGGGAAAATTGGACAGCCACATGCAGAAGAATGAGACTCGACCATTCTCTAACACCATTCACAAAGATAAACTCAAAATGGATGAACGACCTAAATGTGAGACAGGAATCTATCCAATTGTACATTGACGGTAACCTCTTTGACATCACCCACAGCAACTTCTTTCAAGATACATCTCCAGAAGCCAGTGAAACAAAAGCAAAAATGAACTTTTGGGACTTCATCAAGATAAAAAGCTTCTGCACAGCAAAGGAAACAGTCAACAAAACAAAGAGGCAACCCACTGAATGGGAGAAGATATTTGCAAATGACACTACAGATAAAGGGCTGGTATCCAAGATCTAAAAAGAACTTCTCCAACTCAACACCCAAAAAACAAATAATCAAGTCAAAAAGTGGGCAGAAGAGATGAACAGACACTTCTCTGAAGAAGACATACAAATGGCTAACAGACACATGAAAAAAGGTTCATCATCATTAACCATCAGGGAAATCCAAATCAAGACCACACTGAGAAACACCTTACACCAGTGAGAATGGCAAAAATGGACAGGGCAAGAAACAACAAAGGTTGGAGAGGTTGTGGAGAAAGGGGAACCCTCTTACACTGTTGGTGGGAATGCAAGTTGGTACAGCCACTTGGGAAAACAGTGTGGATGTTCCTCAAAAAATTAAAAATAGAGCTACCCTATGACCCAGCAATTGCACTCCTGGGTATTAACCCCAAAGACACAGATGTAGTGAAAAGAAGGGCCATATGCAGCCCAATGTTCATAGCAGCAATGTCTGCAATAGCTAAACTGTGGAAAGAGCCGAGATGCCCTTCAACAGATGAATGGATAAAGAAGATGTGGTCCATATACACAATGGAATATTACTCAGCCATCAGAAAGGATGAATACCCAACTTTTACATCAACATGGATGGGACTGGAGGAGATTATGCTAAGTGAAATAAGTCAAGCAGAGAAAGTTAATTATATGGTTTCACTCATATGTGGAACATGAGGAATAGTACAGAGGACCAAACAGGAAGGGAGGGAAATCTGAATGGGATGTCATCAGACAGGGAGACAAACCATGAGAGACACTGAACTCTAGGAAACAAACTGAGGTTTACAGAGGGAAGGTGGGTGGGGGAATGTGGTAACTACGTGATTTTAATTAAAAATAAAAAAATAAGAGGGGGTGTAGGCTGAAACGTGCCCTGTATTCTCCCCCACGTGGTCCAGGGCCTGGTAGAGGCATGGCTAGAGGGGGGGAGGAAAGTACTATGGCCCTGGAACCTGGATATCACCCAAAATTATAGATAGAGAGGGAGAGAGAGAGAGATGTTGGATAGATAGATGGATAAATGGATAGTTACATGGATGGATGGATGGATTGATAGATATGGATGGATGGATTGATAGATATGGATGGATAGGTGATAGATGATAGATAGATAATAGATAATAGATAGATGATAGATGATTGATAGATGATAGATAGATAGATGATAGATAGATAGATAGATAGATGATAGATAGATAGATGATAGATAGATAGATGATAGACGATAGATAGATAGATAATAGATAGATAGATGATAGATAGATGATAGAATAAAATTTTAAGAGAGTTTTGTTCATTTTGAGCTGACAAGATCCACCCCCACTTACAAGTTTCTGGGGGGCCAAGGCCTGGGTTCCTCCCCCCGATCTCCTGGACTGGGGGTCCCCCAAGGACGGAGCTGAGTGTCTTCCCTCTCTGACTGGTGCCCCAGATCAGGAGACCTGCCCCATGGACAACAGCACGAGGACAAGGGCTCGGCTCACACCGGCCCCCAGAGCCAGATGCCGTTGCACACGGCAGAATGCATCTCCTCCAAGCCTGGAAGGCCGGTGTGCCTGTCACCGGTCAGGAGGGCCAGCAGAGGCCTGGCACACGGGGACCACAAGCTGAGAGCAGGCCGCGGGGTGGACACTGCCAGGGATGTTGCCTTCACGGGCCCTCCCGGCAGTAAGGGGCTGCCTTCTCAGGGTCCCTCTGTCCCTCTTTCTTTCCTTCTGTTATGAACCCAGCACAGTGTGCTGAATGCTGGCCCCCGGGACCTATGTCCACGGCCTAATCCCAGGAACCTTGAATGTGACCTTGTTTGGAAAAGTGTCTTTGCAGATGTGATTGACATTAAAGATCTTCAGATGAGATGGTCCAGGCCCTAAATCTCATGGCAGGTGTCCTTCCAAGGGGCTGAGGAGGAGACACACAGACACAGAGGAGAAGCCCCATGAAGACGGAGATGCGGGTGGGAGGGATGGGGCCACAAGCCCAGGAGTGACCCTGACCCGTGGAAGGTGCTCAGTCACGCCGGGTACGGACCCTGACCTGTGAAGGTGCTGGGTCACTCCATGCACAGACCCTGACCCGTGGAAGGTGCTCAGTCATGCCATGTATGGACCCTGACCCGTGGAAGGTGCTCGGTGATGCTGGGCACAGACCCTGGGCAAAGACCCTCACCCATGGAAATTGATCAATGATGCCAGGCACAGACCCTGACACAGGGAAGGTGCTGGTTCATGCCGGGCACAGACCCTAAACCATACAAGGTGCTGGTTCATGCTGCCGGGCACAGAACCTAAACCATGGAAGGTGCTCGGTGATGCTGGGCATAGACCCTGAGCCCTGGAAGGAGCTCAGTCACGCTGGGCACAGACCCTGACCTGTGAAGGTGCTGGGTCACTCCGTGCACAGACCCTGACCCGTGGAAGCTGCTCAGTCATGCCATGTACGGACCCTGACCCGTGGAAGGTGCTCGGTGATGCTGGGCACAGACCCTGAGCCCTGGAAGGAGCTCAGTCACGCCGGGCACGGACCCTGACCTGTGAAGGTGCTGGGTCACTCCGTGCACAGACCCTGACCCATGGAAGCTGCTCAGTCATGCCATGTACGGACCCTGACCCGTGGAAGGTGCTCGGTGATGCTGGGCACGGACCCTGAGCCCTGGAAGGAGCTCAGTCACGCCGGGCACGGACCCTGACCTGTGAAGGTGCTGGGTCACTCCGTGCACAGACCCTGACCCGTGGAAGGTGCTCGGTGATGCTGGGCACAGACCCTGAGCCCTGGAAGGAGCTCAGTCACGCCGGGCATGGACCCTGACCTGTGAAGGTGCTGGGTCACTCCGTGCACAGACCCTGACCCGTGGAAGGTGCTCGGTCAATCTTAGCAAAGTGCATGTCAGACCTCTTTCCTGAGTTCCGGCTCTTTCCACTCATTGCTGCAGGCAGGTGGCTAATGCCATGACATCATACCTCAGCCCAAACGACACCTCCTCTGCCCTGTGCCCACGCTGCCCATGTGTGAGTGCCTGGGCTGAGGAACAGGAGGCTGAGGGAGAAGGCGGCCCACCACGTCTGCCCGACCACTGGGTGCTGCCCAACCTGCTCTCGTTCCTTCTGGTTCCTGGGGTGGCGACTGCTTGGGGGGACTCCAGTGCTTTGGACCCTCGGAGGGTGCAGAGTGCAGGGATGCACCGGCAGGCGACAGGGCAGGGCCCCAGGGGCAGTCATCTGCCACACAGACAGTGCAGTTGGCAAGGGTATGCGGGGGTGGTAGGGGCAAGAGGTATTCGGCCCTGGGAGGAAACGTCCCTCACGGGTGGTGCTGCAGGGATCCCGGGTTCATACTGAAACCCCCAGAGTTTCCCTGAGCCAGGCCACAGTGTGCCGGCCCCACCGCGGCCTCCCCTCCCTGCAACCACCTCCTCCGCTCCCATCCCTGGGCCGCCCGAGTCCACAGGGAAGAAGCATGTGTGGCAGACAACTCCACTCATCCTGAAGCTTGCTGCCACTCCCCCTGGTGGTGTCCTTCCTGGGGGCGGACCATCGGCTCCTGTGTGTGGCTCCGGAACCTTCTGTGCTTGAAGAAGTGAAGGATCAAGTGGGCACAGACACCAGCTGGGTCCATCGGCCCCTAGGAGGGCCAGGCCGGGTGCAAGGGAGCAGGGCAACATGGGTGCAGCTCGGGGGCCGGCAGGAGAGCCCTGGGCTGGCAGGCGGGGCACAGGGGGCCCCTCAGCTGCCCCAGCCCCGGACTCCAGGCTCCCAGACAGCTGCAGCCCCCCACCCCCACCCCAGCAGTACTCTGGGGCCCCAGCTGTGGACAGCGGGCCGAGGAAGGGCAGCCACTGGTCACGGCCAGACTGGCGTGGCTCCTCACCCTCACATCCTCCCCCGCGGCCGTAAGGTGGACCGACACCTGCCGATTTGCCGGGGTCACCCTGGGTGAGCCCTGTCCCTCCAGGCCTCACCCCTGACAGCCTTCACTCCGTGCCCACCTCCCAGACCATCTCCACCTCGGGGTCCACTTCAGCCTTTGCTTCCTCACCTCTCGGCCCCCAGACAGCCACATGGAGCCATGACCTCCCGCAGGGCACCCGCCTCGCACCCACATGGCCTCAGCCCAGAGTCAGGCTCCCGGGGGTCGCACAGGCCAGGCCACATACACCTGGCCCCACCACAGCCAGACCACAGACCAGACATGACGTGGAGGCGAGCAGCCGCCACTGGTGGGACAGGAAGTGGGCAAGTGACCCCATCTGTGGGCCAGACACAGTCATGCAATCCCTCCCAGCCCACCCCTCACACCTCGGCCCGCCTAGAGAGGCAAATACCCCAGAGCAGGGCAGGGGGCTACTGAGATCACACAGCCATCAGGCCAGCCTACAGGAGGCCATGGCCTCCATGCTCACTCCAGGCCCCTGGGGAGGCAGGCCGATGGACATGCAGCACTGGGCCACCGGGCAAAGGGAGGCCTGGCCTCTCAGATGTAATGGACCCTCAGGCAGCCTCGAGCAGGTGGGTCCAAATGTGGGTCAGACCTTATCTCCTCAGTCAGACCATCTTGAACCCTGCTGGGCCCAAGAGGATGGAGAATAGGCATCAACACAGAGCAGAGGAAGAAAGGAAGATTGCCTGGAGGCCATAGATATCACAGGGCAGAAAACCAGAATACGCACAATTAAGGCTACTGTGGGCTACGCTAGATTGGGCTGGCCTGGGCTGAGCTGAAGTGGACAAGCCGGGCTGGGCTGAACTAGGCTCAACTGGGCTGAGCTGGGCTGGGCTGGGCTGAACTGGGCTGAGCTGGGCTGGTCTCAATTGGGCTGAGCTGGGCTGGTCTCAAATGGGCTGAGCTGAGCTGGGCTCAACTGGGCTGAGCTGAGCTGAACTCGGCTGAGCTGGGCTGGGCTGAGCTGGGCTCAACTGGGCTGAGCTGGGCTGAGCTGGGCTGGGCTCAACTGGGCTCAATTGGGCTGAGCTGAGCTGGGCTCAACTGGGCTGAGCTGGGCTGGGCTGAACAGGGCTGAGCTGGGCTGGACTGAACTAGGCTGAGCTGGGCTGGGCTGAACTGGGCTGAGCTGACCTGAGCTGGGCTGAGCTGACCTGAGCTGACCTGAGCTGGGCTGAGCTGAACTGGGCTGAGCTGGGCTGCCTGGACTGAGCTGGGTTGAGCTAAACTGGGCTGAGCTGGGCTGAACTGGGCCGAGCTGGGCTGGCTAAGCTGAACTGGCCTGAGCTGGGCTAAGCTGGGCTGAGCTGGGCTGAGCTGGGCTGAACTGGGCTGAGCTGGGCTGAACTGGGCTGAGCTATCTGAGCTGAGCTGAGCTGAGCTGGGCTGAGCTGAATTGGGCTGAACTGGGCTGAGCTGAACTGGGCTGAGCTGGGCTGAGCTGGGCTGTACTGGGCTGAGCCAGACTGAACTGAGCTCTACTGGGCTGAGCTGAGCTGAGCTGAGCTGGACTGAACTGGGCTGGGCTGGACTAAGCTGAACTGGGCTGAGGTGGGTTAACTGGACTGAGCTGGGCTGAGCTGACCTGAGCTGGGCTTAGCTGATCTGAGCTGAGCTGGGCTAGGCTGAGCTGAACTGGGATAAGCTGGGCTGAGCTGTGCTGAGCTGAGTTGGACTGAACTGGGCTGAGTTGTGCTGAGCTGGACTGAGCTGGGCTGAGCTGAGCTGAGCTGATTTGAGCTGAGCTGGACTAAGCTGGGCTGAGCTGAGCTGGGCCGAGCTGGGCTGAGCTGAACTGACCTGAGCTGGGCTGAGCTTAACTGGGCTGAGCTGGGCTGAATTGGGGTGAGCTGGACTGAGCTGGGCTCAACTGGGATGAGCTGAGCTGGGCTGAACTAGGCTGAGCTAATCTGAGCTGAGCTGGACTGAGCTGGGCTGAGCTGAGCTGGGCTAGGCTGAGCTAAACTGGGATAAGCTGGGCTGAGTTGGGCTGAGCTGGACTGAGCTGGGCTGAGCTGGGCTCAACTGGGATGAGCTGGGCTGGGCTGAACTGGGCTGGGCTGAGCTGATCTGAGCTAAGCTGAGCTGGGCTGGGCTAAGGTGGACTGAGTTGGGTTGAGCTGAGCTGGGCTGAGTGGGCTGAACTGGGCTGATCTGAGCTGAGTTGGGATGGGCTGGGATCACCTGGGCTTAACTGGGCTCAACTGGGCTGAGCTGAGGTGGACTACCTGGGCTGGGCTGGGCTGAGCTGGACTGAGCTGGGCTAAGCTGGACTGAGCTGGATTGAGCTGAGCAGAGCTGGGCTGAGCCAGGCTTAGGCTGGGCTTAGCTGGGCTGAACTGGACTGAGCTGGACTGAGCTGGGCTGAGCTGAGCTGGGCTGGGCTGAGCTGAGCTGAGCTGGGCTGAGCTAGACTGAGCTGGACTGAGCTGGGCTGAGCTGGGCTGAACTGGGCTGAGCTAGGCTGAGCTGAGCTGGATTGGGCTGAGCTGAGCTGAGCTGAAATGGACTGAACTGGGCTGAGCTGGGCTGGGCTGAGCCGGGCTGAGCTGGGCTGAGCTGGGCTGAAATGGGCTGAGCTGAGCTGGGCTCAAGTGGGCTCAAATGGGCTGAGCTGAGCTGAGCTGGGCTGGGCTGGGCTGGGCTGCGCTGAGCTGGGCTGAGCTGGGCTGGGCTGAGCTGGGCTGAAATGGGCTGAGCTGGGCTGAGCTGGACTAGGCTGGGCTGAACTGGGCTGAACTGTGCTGAGCTCAGCTGAGCTGGGCTGAGCTGGGCTAGCTGTCTGAGCTGGACTGAGCTGGGCTCAACTGGGCTGAGCTGAGATGAGCTGGGATCAATTGGGCTCAACTGGGCTGAACTGAGCTGTGCTGAGGTGAACTACCTGGGCTGGGCTGAGCTGGGCTAGGATGAGCTGAACTGGACTGGGTTGATTTAAGCTGAGCTGAGCTGAGCTGGGCTGAGCTAGACTGAACTGGGCTGGGATGAACCAGGCTGAGCTAGGCTGAACTGGCCTAGGCTGGGCTGAACTGAGCTGGGCTGGGCTAACCTGGGCTGAACTGGGTTGAGCTGGGCTGAACTAGGCTGAACTGGGCTCAGCTGGGCTGGGCTAGGCTGCACTGGGCTGAACTGGGCTCAGCTGGGCTGGGCTGGGCTGAACTAGGCTACACTGGGCTGAACTCAGCTCAGCTGGGCTGGGCTGGGCTGAGCTGAAATAGGCTAAACTGGGCTCAGGTGGGCTCAGCTGGGCTGAACTGGGATGAACTGGGCTCAGCTGGGCTCAGCTGGGCTCAACTGGGCTGGGCTGGGTTGAGCTGGGCTGAACTAGGCTGAACTGGGCTCAGCTGGGCTGGGCTGGGCTGCCCTGGGCTGAACTGGGCTCAGCTGGGCTGGGCTGGGCTGAACTAGGCTACACTGGGCTGAACTCAGCTCAGCTGGGCTGGGCTGGGCTGAGCTGAAATAGGCTAAACTGGGCTCAACTGGGCTCAAGGGGGCTCAGCTGGGCTCAACTGGGATGAGCTGGGCTCAGCTGGGCTCAGCTGGGCTCAACTGGGCTGGGCTGGGCTCAGCTGGGCTGGGCTAGGCTGCACTGGGCTGAACTGGGCTCAGCTGGGCTGGGCTAGGCTGCACTGGGCTGAACTGGGCTCAGCTGGGCTGGGCTGGGCTGAACTAGGCTACACTGGGCTGAACTCAGCTCAGCTGGGCTGGGCTGAGCTGAAATAGGCTAAACTGGGCTCAGGTGGGCTCAGCTGGGCTGAACTGGGATGAACTGGGCTCAGCTGGGCTCAGCTGGGCTCAACTGGGCTGGGCTGGGTTGAGCTGGGCTGAACTAGGCTGAACTGGGCTCAGCTGGGCTGGGCTGGGCTGCCCTGGGCTGAACTGGGCTCAGCTGGGCTGGGCTGGGCTGAACTAGGCTACACTGGGCTGAACTCAGCTCAGCTGGGCTGGGCTGGGCTGAGCTGAAATAGGCTAAACTGGGCTCAACTGGGCTCAAGGGGGCTCAGCTGGGCTCAACTGGGATGAGCTGGGCTCAGCTGGGCTCAGCTGGGCTCAACTGGGCTGGGCTGGGCTCAGCTGGGCTCAACTGGGCTGAACTGGGCTCAGCTGGGCTGGGCTAGGCTGCACTGGGCTGAACTGGGCTCAGCTGGGCTGGGCTAGGCTGCACTGGGCTGAACTGGGCTCAGCTGGGCTGGGCTGGGCTGAACTAGGCTACACTGGGCTGAACTCAGCTCAGCTGGGCTGGGCTGGGCTGAGCTGAAATAGGCTAAACTGGGCCCAACTGGGCTCAGCTGGGCTCAGCTGGGCTGAACTGGGATGAGCTGGGCTCAGCTGGGCTCAGCTGGGCTCAACTGGGCTTGGCTGGGCTGAGCTGGGCTGGGCTGGGCTGAGCTGAGCTGAAATTTGTTGAGCTGGGCTGAAATTGGCTGAGCTGGGCTGTACTGGGCTAGTGACTGAGGTGAATGGGAAGGGGTGGGCTGGGTTTGTATCACCCCCCAGAGATCTAGTCTCCAGCCAGGCTAGTCCCTGTATTCTAAGGGGTACATGGGGGCATGCTTCTTAGGTTGTACCCATGATGCTTTCTGTCCCTTCACCAGTTCCCTGAAGGGAATTGGTCCTGTACATGTGGGTAGACCACACTCTGTGTTTCTGCCTTTTCCAGTAGGGACATCCTCCAACCGAGTTGGAATTGGGCCTCTTACCTCCAAAGCCCCGTAGACCAGAGATCAACTGTCACTACTAGGGAGACTGGGGGTGGGATTAGTGAGGGGTGAGTGGTTTGACTGGGAACCTAACTGGGAAGTGGGAAGGGGGTCCCAGGAGGAGCGAGTGTGTCTGCACCCATTGCACAGATGGGAAACGGAGGCCCCAGCAGCTCCTGCAGACTCAGCCAGTGAGTGGGAAAGCCATGTTCAGTAACCACAAATCCAGAGGCCTTCCCTGAGGAATGTGTCCAGGCGGTCGTGCTAGAACCCTGAGGACCGTGTTCCGAGACAGTGCAGCTGGGCTCAGGCATCTGGTTCCGACCCCAGGTCCTTGGCATGTGAGCTGAGAGCCTTGGGGCAGTCACTCGCCGTCTCTGTGCAAGCTTCCTCCAGTGCACAGGAGAGACAGGCTTCGTGCTGGGATTGTGAGGCTGCATCAGGGGTCCAGGGTGCTGCCCACTGCCTCACAGAGTGTCCTGTGTTGCAGAGGCCAAAGCCAGCCCCAGTGTCTTCCCGCTAAGCCTCAGCAGCACTGACGAAGCCGGGCACGTGGTCATCGCCTGCCTGGTCCAGGGCTTCTTCCCGCCAGAGCCCGTGAATGTGACCTGGAGCCCCAGCAAGGAGGGCGCGTCCGTCAGGAACTTCCCCCCAGTGAAGGGCGCTGCTGGGAGCCTGTATACCATGAGCAGCCAGCTGACCCTGCCGGCCAACCAGTGCCCTGACCGCTCGTCCCTGGAATGCCAAGTGCAGCACGCCTCCAACCCCAGCAAGCCTGTGTCTGTGCCATGCAAAGGTCAGAGGGCAGGCTGGGGGCTGGGGGTGGGGCCCCACATTCTTCTCTGACCAGCCACCTGGAATCGTGCCCCCGAGGGCACACCACTGGGACGAGAGCGGGCTGCCGAGACGGGGCCCCCATGGAGGGGCTGGGGGTGGGGAGGGCAGGGGGCCGAGGGCACGCTGACCTGCTGCAGTCTCTGTCTCAGTTCCAGTTGTGGATAAATGCCCTTGTAAGTGTCCCTCGTGTGACGAGCCCCGCCTGTCACTGCACCAGCCCGCCCTCGGGGACCTGCTTCTGGGCTCCAATGCCAGCCTCACGTGCACGCTGAGCGGCCTGAAAGACCCCAAGGGTGCCTCCTTCACCTGGCAGCCCTCCGGGGGCAAGGACGCCACCCAGAAGAGCCCTGAGCGTGACCCCTGCGGCTGCTACAGCGTGTCCAGTGTGCTGCCAGGCTGTGCGGAGCCGTGGAACCGTGGGGAGACCTTCTCCTGCACGGCCACCCACCCCGAGTCCAAGAGCCCGATGACCGTCACCATCAAAAAAGTCCTAGGTGGGCACAGACCCTGCCCGGGAGGCGCGGCAACCCCCGAGCCCGCCTCCTCTCGCCCACCCACAGTCTACGGAGGGAAACTGAGGCCAGGGGTGCCCAGGGCAGAGGGGCCCCTCCCCCCCGCCAGCCCAGACCCCTGACCTGGCTCTCTGCCCCCCAGGAAACACTTTCCGGCCCCAGGTCCACCTGCTGCCGCCGCCGTCGGAGGAGCTGGCCCTCAACGAGCTGGTGTCGCTGACCTGCTTTGTGAGGGGCTTCAGTCCCAAGGACGTGCTGATCCGCTGGCTGCAGGGGACCCAGGAGCTGCCCCCGGAGAAGTACATGACCTGGGAGCCCCTGAAGGAGCCCGGCCAGAGCGTCCCCACCTTCTCCGTGACCAGTGTGCTGAGGGTAGACGCCGAGGCCTGGAAGCAGGGGGACAAGTTCTCCTGCATGGTGGGCCACGAGGCCCTGCCCCTATCCTTCACCCAGAAGACTATCGACCGCCTGGCGGGTAAACCCACCCACGTCAACGTGTCTGTGGTCATGGCAGAGGTGGACGGCGTCTGCTACTGAAACGCTCACCCGCCCCTCCCTGAATAAACTCCATGCTCCCCTGGAGCGCCCCGTGCTTCCATGAGGCCGCTGTCTGTCCATATTCGGGGTCTGTGGCACACGGAGGCAGGGAGGGCCCCAGGGGGGAAGGGCAACTGCTTTCCTGACCCTTTTGGGCTTCACTTGCCTGGGTCAGCCTGGCACCTCCACGTGCCCTCACACCCGTGGACTCGTGTGTGTGTGTGTGTGTGTGTGTGTGTGTGTGTGTGTGTGAACATCAGTGTGAGCGCATGGTCCATGGCGGGCAAGCTGGGAGCAAGACCCGGGGCTGACAGCCAGCAGGTCCTGAGAGCAGGGGCCCCAGCAAGCCCTCCATGGGCAGTGATGTGCTTGCCTGTATCTCAGAGGGAGGCAGGGGAGCAGGGCCACTGAAGAGGCTGGTGTCCCTGTCAGGAGTCGTGGCAGGAACGGGGGGAGGGCAGGATTCCAGGGGGGCCCACACCACCCTCGGCGAGTGCAATGCACACAATTGCAGGACAGCCCCACAGGTGCACCCGACAAGGAGGTCACCCCGCTCCAAACTGCTCTGCACACAGCACACCCACACACACACACACAGTCTCCCCACGCTCGCAGTCACACGCCCTCCAGGTGCAGGGAGTCCCCCGCCTGGCCCCAGCCCCAGCAAGATTCCCCACACCCTTCCCTGCATGCCCCACTGGGCACAGCTCAGGGCCCAATTCCACAGACCCTGCCCAGGCAGCCCCTGCCCCTGCCTGACCCCCAGACTCAAGTCTCCCACCCCTTCCTGAGCCCAAGGATGGTCCGAACCACAGATGGGGCGGCAGGCTGGGGAGGGGTCAGTAGAGACAGCCCCCACCCAGGGCCCCTCTGCAGCTTCTGCCGGAGGCTTCTGGCAGAAAGGGAGGTTTGGGGAGATGGAGCATAGAAGCAGAACCATGGCCACGGTGGGACGGCTGGTGGTACGGTTCCCACAAGGGGGCAGCGGGGCCCCTGCTCTTGCCTCAGATACCTTCTGGGCTTCCCCAGGGGACCTGGCCTTCTGGCTTCCTCCCTCTGCTCTCAGGACCAAAGTGAGGTGGGGACCCCTACCCACATGGTCATTGCTCCCCTCTCAAGGGTCCAGTCACCAAAGGGCAATAGAGGGAGCAACAGGTTAATTGGGGGGAGTGCTGCCATACAGGAAACACTCCAGCCACCAAGAGAGCCAGTACCTGGCCCATAGAAAGAGTATTCTAGAGAGGTGTGGAGGGGAGGAAGGGTCGGTAGATGGGCAGAGCTGCAGAGGGACAGATCATAGGACATGTACTGGATGGAAGTATGGACAGATGGACGGATGGATGGGGGAAGGAGGGAGGGATGGATGGATGGATGGATGGATGGATGGATGGATGGATGGATGGGTGGATGGATGGATGGATGGACAGACGGGTGGATGGGTGAGTGGATGGATGGATGGATGGATGGGTGGATGGATGGAAGGATGGACAGATGGGTGGATGGATGGAGGGAAGGAGGGAGGGAGGGAGGGATGGATGGATGGATGGACAGACGGGTGGATGGTGAGTGGATGGATGGATGGATGGATGGATGGATGGATGGATGGATGGACAGACGGGTGGATGGATGGATGGATGGATGGATGGATGGATGGATGGATGGGTGGATGGATGGAAGGATGGACAGATGGGTGGATGGATGGAGGGAAGGAGGGAGGGAGGGAGGGAGGGATGGATGGATGGATGGATGGATGGATGGATGGATGGATGGACAGACAGGTGGATGGGTGAGTGGATGGATGGATGGATGGATGGATGGATGGATGGATGGATGGATGGATGGAAGGATGGATGGACAGACGGGTGGTTGGGTGAGTGGATGGATGCATGGATGGATGGATGGATGGATGGACTGGGGGATAGATGGATGGATGGGCGGATGGATGGATGGATGGATGGATGGATGGATGGATGGATGGATGGATGGATGGACGGACAGGTGGATGGGTGGGTGGATAGATGGTTGGACAGGTGGATGGACAGATGGATGGGTGGATGGATGGACGGGTGGATGGACAGATGGACAGGCAGATGGATGGATGGATGATTGGATGTGTCAGCATATGACAAGCTGGTCCAAATCCCATTTAACATAGATGGCCTATGGCCTGGGATCCTGAAAATCTGGATCCTTCACCTGGGCCTCCCTCATGCTCCTTGTAGCTTATCAGCCACATTCCCTGGGAAGGCAACATGCCCATCCAGCCCTTGGCATACTGAACCCCAGATGTAGATTTATGTCTCAATCTGGAGCACCCTGAGAGTGGCATGTCTGGTCCTCTCTGACCCCAGCCAGGGTCCAGACCAAGGCTGAGCCAAAAGCAAGGGCTTGGTGAGGGCTTGGTGAGCACGCCCATGGGGCTGGGAGCCAGGAGGCCTTGGTCTTGGGCTCTATTTAGAGCAGCAAAGCCAATGCTCACCCTCTTACCATGCCAGGCCTCTCTCCCTAAGGTCCTGCCAGGACTCCTTTAGGCATTGGGGTCCTCTAGGGACCTGTCACCTTACCCTCCCTGAGGCAGCCTCAGACCTGAGAGAGGGCACCCCTGTTGCCCCTGTCCTGACCCTGAGGGTACATGGGAAGGGAAGGCATTGGTTTGGCCCCCACCCATGCAGGCATGGGTCTGGCAGGCCCACAGTGTCTTGCAGATTGCTGGGAGCCACTTTCCTGGCTGGTGCTGGACCTGCCACAAGAGGACCTGGAGGAAGACGCCCCAGGAGCCAGCCTGTGGCCCACCACCGTCACCCTGCTCACCCTCTTCCTACTGAGTCTCTTCTACAGCACAGCACTTACTGTGACAAGCATGCGGGGCCCAGCTGACAGCAGAGAGGGCCCCCAGTACTGAGCAGAGGCCAGCCAGGCTCAGGTAGGGGTGAGGAGGCAGAGGGCAGGGCTGGCTGGGGCAGGGGGTCAACCACCAGAACATCTGCCTGTTCCCCGCCCCTGGGGGTCTGACTTCCCAAGGAGGTGGTCCCCCCTCATAGACACTGAAGATATGGGCAGTCCTGGGGGCAGAGCTGAAATGTCCCTCAGCAGGATCTGGGAGTTAGCACCCCTGGATACAGTCACTGAAGGATTCAACCCATCTCCCCTGAGGCAGGCAGGGCTGGGGAAAGGGCATTGGCAAGGAGCTCCTCTGGGCCCTGACCCCACTGTGTTTGCAGGGAGGAGTCTGGAGGAGCCTCCTGGAACCCCAGCTGGATGCCAGAGCTCAGCCCTGCTCAGAAGCTGCCAACTCACCCCACACACAGGCCTTGCTGGTGCAATAAACTGATCCCAAAGACAAAGGTTCTCAGACTCTAAATCAGAGGAGGGGGAAGGAGAGAGACAGAGGCTTGGGAGAGGGGGACACTTGCCTCATAGCCCAAGGTGAGGCCCCCTTCACCGACAGTCCACCTGATCTGGTCCTGCATAAGGCACAGGCACAGGATAAGACTGTCCTTCAGCAACGACAGTATGAAGCAAGACTACTCCCAAGCACTGCACCTAGGACCCTGGTCCTGGTCACTGAGCCCTGGTCCTCACTGGGCCCTGATCCTGGTCACTGAGCCCTGGTTCTGGTCATTAAGCCATGATCCTGGTCACTGAGCCCTGGTTCTGGTCACTGAGCCCTGATCCTGGTCACTGAGCCCTGGTACTGATCCCTGGGCCCTGGTCCTGGTCACTGAGCCCTGGTCCTGGTCACTGAGCCCTGGTCATGATCACTGAGGCCTGGTCATGATCACTGAGACCTGGTTCTGATCACTGGGCCCTGGTCCTAATCACTAAGCCCTGGTCATGATCACTGAGGCCCAGTCCTTGTTAATGGGCCCTGGTCCTGGTCACTGAGCCATAGTCCTGTTCACTGAGCCCTTGTCCTGATCACTGGGCCCTGGTCATGATCACTGGCCCTGGCCATGATCACTGAGGCCTGGTCCTGATCACTGGGCCCTGGCCATGATCACTGAGCCTTTGTTCTGATCACTGGGCCCTGTTCCTAATCACTGGGCCCTGGTCCTGGTAACTGAGCCCTGATCCTGGTCACTGAGCCCTGGTACTGATCATTAAGCCCTGGTCCTGGTCACTGAACCCTGGTTCTAATCACTAGACCCTGGCCATGATCACTGAGGCCTGGTCCTGATCACTGGGCCCTGTTCCTAATCACTGGGCCCTGGTCTTTGTCACTGATCCCTGGTCCTGATCACTGAGCCCTTGTCCTGATCACTGGGCCCTGGCTATGATCACTGAGCCCTGGTCCTGGTCACTGAGCCCTTGTCCTAATCACTAGGCCCTGGTCTTGATCACTGAGGCCTGATCCTGGTCACTGGGCCCTGATCCTAATCACTAGGCCCTGGTCATGATCACTGAGCCTGGGTCCTGGTCACTGGGTCTGATCCTCATCACTGAGCCCTAGTCCTGGTCACTGAGCCCTTGTCCTGATCACTGGGCCCTGGTCATGATCACTGAGGCCTGGTCCTGGTCACTGAGCCCTGGTACTGATCACTGGGCCCTGGTCCTGATCACTAGGCCCTGGTCCTGATCACTGAGGCCTTGTCCTGATCACTGGGCCTTGGTCCTTGTCACTGAGCCCTGGTCCTGATCACTGAGCCCTGGTCCTGGTCACCGAGCCCTTGTCCTGATCACTAGGCCCTGGTCCTGGTCCCTGAGCCCCTGTCCTAATCACTAGGCCCTGGTCATGATCACTGAGGCCTGATTCTGGTCACTGGGCCCTGGTCCTAATCACTAGGCTCTGGTCATGATCACTGAGCCTGGGTCCTGGTCACTGAGACCTGGTATAACCACTGGACCTTGGTCCTGGTCACAGAGCCCTGGTTCTGATCACCGGGCCTTGGTCTTGGTCACTGAGCTCTAGTACTGATCACTGGGCCCTGGTCCTGGTCATTGTGACCTGGTACTAATCACTGAGCCCTGGTCCTGGTCATGATAACTGAACCCTGGTCCTCATCACTGGGCCCTGACCCTGGTCACTGTGCCCTGGT